CTGAAGATTCACGGGCATTAACCAGATATTTTCCTAAACTCATTAAATTAAATTTAAATTTTGTATTTAAGCACAGCAACTATGGCCGTTCACTGTTTTCAGGGAGGGGTTACGGTTGGATAGGAACCCATGTGTGTTTGTGGCATGTATTTGTGCAACACATTTTGTGACTGAATGCATGGACCAACACCAAGCCATTTAACATTTATTTGTATTTTTTTCTGAATTATGTATTTTACTGAATATGAAAATTTTAACACAATTCAAAGCCATTAATAATTAAACCTATTGTCAAACAAAGAAATTCTAAATATGATTCAGAAACAACTTGAAAAGTTGAAAGTAATTATTTTATGTAGTAGTGAATATAATTTTTCAATTTATCATTGTATTTTCTTACAAATAGGATTTAGTCTTTGGAAAAATTAAGGACACTAATGTTGTTCTGAAAAAACGTAAATTATTTAATGAATTTGAGTTAGACACTGAAAATACTTGTTTAACTGCTCCTGTATCGCACAAGACAACTTCATTCTTTGACTATGGATTTTGCAAACATAGTGTTTCCAAGCTTCAAAGGTCATTTTCAACTAATGATGCCACTATAAAAGCAGCATTTGAGAAAGGTAAGTAATACACTAGATTATTTTAAACAAAGCAATTCAATCATTATTTTTTGTTTGAAAAATTGTTGGATTAAAATGATAACAAAATAACTTCATTAATTAATTGTTTAACTATGTATTGAAATTTATTTATGATGATAATTATAATACTCTACAATAGTTTTCTTTGGCCAATTTATGTGATCAAAAAAAATTGCTGTACAACTTTTAAAAAATATTGTTCTTTTATTTTATCAGAGGATAATGAATCAAATTTAATTGGTGACTTCAGTCGATCATTTATATTGCCTTTGTTAACACTTGGCCGTCATGCAGATCTTCGTAGTATATCTCCTGATACATTAGCTCATTTATTGGAGGGCGCATTCAATGATTGTATCGATTCCTATCTGATAATAGATTGCAGGTAATACAAATATTATTTTATTGTAAGTAGAATTGTATTTTGTATTTATTAATTCATTTTTTTTTTTAGATATCCCTATGAATATGAAGGTGGTCATATAAGAGGAGCAATCAACATATTTACTAAAGAGCAACTAATTAAAGATTATATTGAAGACAAGTTGGGTGAAAAATCTCATAAAACTGATAAAATTAATGTGAAGAGAAATGTTTTGATATTTCACTGTGAATTTTCATCGGAGAGAGGCCCACATCTGTGAGTAAAATGTTATGAATTAAAATTTTATTATTTATACATTTTTATAATAGACTTAAAATTACGTTGTACATATGTAGTTTGTATTTTTGTTTTTTGAGTGTATTCAACTCAACAAGTAGTAATAAATGTGGACTTAGTCTTGATGTAAATCGATTCCTCATGCATAAATGTTTGCCCCTGCACTTTATTAATTGTTACTACATATGATAACTTAAAGGATAATTGTATTATTTTGAAGTTAAAATACAAATCATTGGTATGCGAGATTTTAGTACTGCCAGTCAAAACTATAGCAAGATCACATTGTTGCGAAAAATGTTTAATTTAATTTTCCATACTATGTATACTACTATTATAAAGCTGAAGAGTTTGTTAAGGTGTATCGCATTAATAATAATAATCATTATTATTAAAGCTAAAAGCAATCATTTATAAACAAAAATAATAATAATCTCAAAGTTCTCGTTTGAGAACCTCCCCGGGTTGGACCTATTGGTATATAGCCATATAGCTTTTCTCGATAAATGGATTACCGAACACAAAAATAATTTTTCAATTCGAACAAGTAGTTCCTTAGATTAGTGAGTTAAAATAAAACAAACTGTAGTGATATCTTGTTATTTATTTATTTATTATTAACAATACGGACTGAGCCCAATTAACATAATATGATAACACCAATTAAATTTAACTATGATAACAATAATAACAGTAGTAACAATTACTAATTTACAAAATTAGGAACATGAATAACATAATAAAAAATACAACAAATACTAAAGAAATAAAGGATCACTATTTGCCATACGCATCATTCTAAGGATTGTCTGGTTCTCAGAATGAACGTTGTTATAATGAATATGGTTAACTTAATTGAGTTTTTTAATATAAATGAAAATACACTTAACGGAAACAGTCACATGGTATTACACATATTATTTTAAACTACATATTTGAAGAGTCTAAATGTTAGGTTAGGTTACTACACCATTGACAATTCTGGTACATAAATTAAATGATTTATATTTAATAATAATAATAATCATTAGTGTGGCCATCTGCACCACAAAACTCTTCAGCTTTATAGTATCAGTAAAGATTAAAATATATGATTTAGCTATTTCACTTTTTTTTTTTTAAGTAAACCAAAGAAGAAAGAAATGAATGGGCCGCAGGCCCGGCTCAAGGGGTAGGCGACATAGGTCCATGCCTAGGGCGGCACATAAGTATCACTTTAGTAAGAAGGCGGCATTTTCAAAATACTGATAATATTATATTATTAGGGGCGGCAAAATTTGATTTCGCCTAGTTCACTATTTTCGCTTGAGCCGGTCCTGATGGGCCGTTTTGTTTGTTTTGTAGGTCACGTCGCGTCGTCGCGATACCTGCGTAACGCAGATAGAGGAATACCTACATTATTAATAATTAAGATATAATTAATGAAAATTGATTTATGTGTTATTTTTTTTTTCATATCGCGTTTCCCATATTGTGTTATGTGTATTAGTAAAATGTATATATGCTAAGTGTTTAAAAAAAATGTATTTGATAAATATATTTTTTTCATATCTTGCCTGAAATATTAATTGTTATGAGATCATATATTATGTACATTATATTATATTTTAATATATTTATCTATGTCATGGCTGTTAGTTATAATTTTTAAGCAATATCTTTATCAACTCGTTTAAGAGAGCATTAAACAAAAAAGATAGTTAAAACTACCCCTTATGAGGACGCTACCGGGATCATGTGTTGTCTCCATCTGACAAATGTAAGACAGTAATAACTGATTTGGGTAGGTAAGAACCACTCAGGCTATAGTCCAAGCTAAGCAACCAAATGTTCACTTTAGAGTGAAGAGAACATTGACTGTGTAACGTTGTTATTAATTTGTCGATACCTATCACAAATTCAAAAAAAGTTCTTATTCTTTTGAAAATTCATTTTTTGAGTTTTTCAATTTTGAATACTTTTTTTTGAATTTGTGATCGAAAAATTAAAAATAATGTTGCATAGTCAATGTTCACTTCTTTCTAATAGTGTGAACATTTGATTGCTCAACTTAGACTACAGCCGGAGTGGTTCTTGCCTTTGTATAGTGAATCGATGAAGGTAATCGGAAAAGAAAGACCCACACTAGGAAAAAAAAATATCAAAATTGAAGTATAAATATGTTAAAATTCTATAATACTATATTATGTTACCCATACATCGACGTAAGTTCGACTAATCAATAATCTACGTTTGATCTATTTAGAATAAGCGTACTTTCATAACAAAACGAAAAAAAATACGAGTATATGTATACCTACGTATTGCAAACGTAAAATAAACCTATTTAAACGTATACGGTATACTATACCCGTTATTATACGATTAATAACTACGTATATGTATACACCAAATTATTCTTATTATAAACGTAGATTATACGTATTGTGTTTACTGGGTAAGGCCGTTTTGAATGTTTTGATGAATAATTAATAGGGTTTGCAGGGGCCTTAGGGCCGCTTTCACCAAATACTTTAAACTTCGATTACGCTTAATCGACTGATAACAGATATTTAACCGGGCAAATTCGGACGATTAAACCACGGTTTAACTTTAATCGGAGTTTAAAGTAGTGGTGAAAGCGGCCCTTAATCAAATATCAATGACTGAATGAACCATGATTCTCCATGAATTTCCAATTATAGGTACTTCTATGAAGTAGTGGACCGACACCATCGCCATCTGTCGGACAAAGATAATAAAGAATTCTATGCTGGCGCCCACTGAACTAATTTAATTGTTCCATGGTGTTGGCGCCGTACAATTCCCTTATCATTTGTCATTTTGATTTCGTGCAATCTATGGCGGTACTGCGGTAAACAGCCCTCAGTACCCGTGGTTGTTACCAATAATTTTGCCGCTATTCACTGATAGCAAATGTTTTGTTTTGGTTTTAATATTTTATAAACACAACATTATGAATAGTGTGAATTAATATTATTTAAAATTAAAATTCACGTGTCCGTCCTGAATGGTCTAACGTTCAAAATAAAGTAGGTAAACGTATAAACTTCAGTTCTTCATATTAATTCACAGTTATTTTATGTCGTATAGTACTGTGGCAAGAGCAGGGTGAGCAGTCGTATTTTTCATTTAATTTTTATTTGAATGGCACCGCTTTCACTAGAATCTTTGTAGCAATCGGTGCTATTTTAAATCGCCGCCGTGGTCAGCAATTAGTAAGTTTAATATATATTATACCACAGTTTAGAATAATATACATACATGGCTACATGTAAGTCAAAAATTTTGAAAGGCTAGGTCAGCCAAGCGCTTTGTTTTACCACAGAATATTCTGATTAATGGTTTAAATGGTTTTATATTAAATTAAATGTGGATTACGAGTAAATTAAATACAAAATAGTTTCAAGTATTATTCAAGATTAGATCAGAAGAAGTTGTATTATTTATTCTAAACGATCAATTATTGAACCCTAAGTATCCAATAATAAATTATTCGGTTTATCAAAAATTTACAAATCATTTACATTTTTACTGTTTATAATGTAGGGGTTAATATTTCTATTATATTCATATGTGTAACTAAACATATACCTAACATTTAATTTTCCTATTTAGGTAGGTAACACAGTAGTTACTGTTTCAAAACAAATTAATCAAATCTAGAATTAAATTCACCATCAACCTTAGATATGAATTTAGAATTGCTTGGTAAGTAAAAACAAGTACCTATAATTTATGAATTAAATCAATTTTATCATAAAATGTAATAAATAATAATTTTTATTTTATAGAATCTTTTGGACAAAATTATCCCGAGGTAATTATATTTAAATTTCATATTTTAAATAATGTTGGGCAATTAACAACATCTATACCTATTTAATATTTTTATATCCAAAAAATATCTTGTTTATTTTTGTTTTTATAAACCCAATTTATTGATTAATAATTACCTATATGGCTATATATTATGTACATATTATGATATTTAGGTAGTTTTAAATTTGTGAACTGAGATTACTTTTGAAGTGATTGATGATCTTTATTAATGTAGAATCCTTCTTATTGTATTTACTTTTCATTTTCAAAGGAATTTGATGGAGTCCTTGATAGTATATCATTAGCTGTGACATGTGTGTTTAACAAATATGGCACACTCTTGGCAGTTGGATGCAATGATGGCCGTATAGTAATTTGGGATTTCTTAACTAGAGGAATTGCAAAAATTATCACAGCTCATATGCATCCTGTCTGTTCCTTAAGGTAATTGATTATTTTCTTGAAATATTAAAAGTGAAATTATTATTATTTTAAACTAAAATTATATATACACCTATGTATACAATTATAATCTTTAGTTGGTCGAGGAATGGACATAAGTTATTAAGTGCATCCACCGATAATAATGTTTGCACTTGGAACATATTGAGTGGCGAAAGAGAAGAAATGTATAAATTTCCGTCTCCCGTGTTAAAAGTCCAATACCACCCAAGAAAGAAAAATTTATTCCTTGTTTGTCCAATGAAACACGCAGCTGTGCTCGTAGACACCGAAGGCAACCATAAATTAGTTCCAATGGGCGAAGATGTGAGTTTTAGCTGAAATTTAAACATATTATTCATAATTTATTATACATTAAATTGTAAAAAAATTTAATTTTACTAAATTACAGTCTGATCTGATGATAGTTGCTTCGTTTGATCGCCGTGGAGAATATATTTATACAGGAAATGCTCGTGGTAAAATATTGGTTTTGACTTGTCCTGATCTTGAGCTTAAAGTCTCGTTCAAAGTATCTACCGGAATGACTGGTATAAAAAGTATTGAATTTGCACGAAGAGGAGATTGCTTTTTACTCAATTGTTCAGATCGTGTCATTAGAGTTTATGACGCTAAACATGTTTTGGATACAGGAAAAGAAGGAGAACCAGAACCCATTCAAAAACTCCAAGATTTAGTCAACAAGTATGTTTAATATTATTGATGGTATACATTTATGTTTATTTTTATTTAAAATTTAAAAATTTAAAAATATTGAAATAATTTGTTTTTGTGATTTTTATTAACTAATATACGAACAACTAATAAAATAATACAATATTATTCACTATACTAAAATTTCTAGAACAATGTGGAAGAAATGTTGTTTTTCTGGTGACGGTGAATATGTTTGTGCAGGTTCGGCTAGGCAACACGCTTTGTATATTTGGGAAAAAAGTATTGGAAACTTGGTGAAAATATTACATGGAACCAAAGGAGAACTTCTTTTGGATGTTGTTGTAAGGCCTAAATTTATTATAGTGAAAATCATGAAAGTTTAATTTAATCTAAAATGATTTATTTTAGTGGCATCCAGTCCGTGCAATAATAAGCAGTATATCCAGTGGCTTAGTATCCGTATGGGCACAAAACCAAGTAGAAAATTGGTCAGCATTTGCACCTGACTTTAAAGAGCTTGACGAAAATGTTGAGTATGATGAGAGAGAGTCCGAGTTTGACTTGGAAGATGAAGACAAATCAATTACAAAAGATATACAACGATGTGATGAAGATTTTGAGGTAGGTATCATTCAATGAATAAAATACATTGTACATTAAACAGTTTATTACTTTTGATTTAATTAAATTCAAAATTACAATTAAACAACAACCTAACCTTCTATTTCACATCATAATATTATATTGTAAATAATATTTAGGTTGATGTGGAAAGTGCTGAACCTGTAGCAGCATTTTGTAGTTCAGACGAAGAAGGAGCTATCGAAGACCACAAGGAAGCTCTTATGTTTTTACCTATTGCTCCAGAAATCGAAGATCCTGAACCTGATATGCCACCACCTCCAGTTGCAACATCTACTTCATCCAAATGCCGTACAATTGATATTCATTTAGACAATGCTACTGACGGTAAGTGTTTTTTTTTTTTTTTTTTTGAGATATTTTAAATATTCTAAAAGTCTTGTCGTTTCTTAAATTAAAGTTTATAACTGTACTTCTAAGGTAGTTTTTGTATTATCATGATATTTCTCATTAGTTTTCAGAAATGTAAATAAGTTCAATTATAAGTTACCATGAATTTGGAGGTGTAGGCCCTACATATTTTTATGTTCCATTTAGAATTATTTTTAAAATGTATTGGTTTATCAAATATAAGGACCTTAATGACCCCTAGTTAGTATAAGCACAACTAGTATCAGTAATATTTTTAGATAAATTTAAAAAATGTTATCTAGAATTTTTACGCTAAATCAGTTTACAGCTATAACAATTCTGTTTTGGTTGTTCTATAAAAAAAAAAAAAAAATACTGTTGATGTATGATTTTTACACTAAATTTTTATGATAGCATTGTATCACCTAACCATGAACGTTTCAAAATATTTTGAGCAATTTATAGATATTTTTAATTTTTAACATTGTTTCTAATAATATCAATAAAAAATTTTGCCGAGCCAAAAAGCTTGAAAATATAATCCTCATCTGTTGTTATAATTATAGATAGCAATTTGAAAATATTAAAGCTACATATTATACTTATAAAAGATACAATTTTTTTTAAATGCATTTAAAGTTAAAATTTTGACAATATTTATTAAAATTATTAAAATTATTAAATCATTTTGTAGTTTAAATGTTTAAAATGTTAAAGTTTTATAGCTGAGAATTGAAAACTTATTGCAAGGTTTCGCATAAGTATTTAATATTGTAATCAAAAAATTCAAAAATTTTTATATAGACATTTAAGTTCAAATCTGGACAATAGATATTTAAACACCGAATATAGATGTTATTTTGTTGTGATTCAAAACCATTATTCATTGTCACTTATAAAATTATAAATTTAACTATACCTATACAATGACATTTTCAATATATTTAGATAAATTTTAAGCTATTATCTATTTATATTATGAACCTATTCACACTATTCTAAGGTAAACTGGTATTGACTCAAAAATGTATAACAATAATAAAACAAAATAATAAATTAGTTACTTTAATAGCAATTTCAAAAAACATCTATTACGGTGAATCACTTGTCACATACTGTACCTTTGCTCACCTTTTTTCATTTAAATTGTAGATTGTGGTTAATATATTCTTTATTACTAGCCACTAGGTAATTTGAAATTATTGAATAGTTATAACCAGGCTGGCATTACTAATATATTATATTGTGTACAATTTTTATTATTTCAGAAGTACATCCATTGTTGAGTAATAAAACCAAAGATAAACAACTCACTGGAGGTAAAAAAGGTCCAAAAAGAGGACCAAAACAACAATAACTATTTCCTAATATTAATATAATATATATTGTATAATTGTATGTACATATTTTACTGTATAGAATTAAAAATATAAATTTTTTATTTAAACCAGAATAAAAACAAGTATTTCCTGATTGTTTTGATTGCATCATTCTAATTTTGATGACCCTCAGTCCAGACTTCAAAATATGACAACCACATGGAAAACAAAAAATATTTTCTTTTTAGGAATACTCTTAATAATTAAGTAGGTACACGTAATGTTATTATTAAATTTATATGTATTCCCTTAGATTAACACTGGACTATGTCAATGTATAACCCGCAATGCTTTGCCAGACGGTGACTTACACACACGTTATCGCAATGGGAGAAATCTTCCGGAAGTGTGATGTGATGGAAGGGTGACTCCTTTGCTTATTGTGCCAACCTCATTTTGTCGAGCGGAGACTGGTGATTTCTGTTTGACAATGGATTTAATAAGGTGTGATCCTCGAGTTTCAGTTTCAGCAGTGTAGTAGTGTTGATGGCTTGAAAAACGGAATTCAAATAAAGTGTATGGCCTAGGTTTACCCGTATAATATAATTCTTTTGATCATACTCCCTCGTCGCTGATTGGTATCACGTTAGCTGTTTGTCGACCCCTCCATGGGTCGGCCGTTTGTTATATTATGCAATACTCCATTGGTATTTTTCCATATTCTACCGGTATAAATAAGAGTCTCATAAAAGACATTCGGTAATGAAAATTGTTGGCTACGGCCAATCGTTGGGGATAAAAGGAAATTAAATCTAGTCAGAGTATATAATATGCTAAACTGTTATCAAAATTATACTGAAAGATTGTAAATTAATACCTATTCTATATACATTTTACATTAATTAAGTTCCCTAATGAATTAATTTCATGAATTTTGTTTGCGAGTATAAATATAATATAAAATATTATTCATCTATATTATGTCTATCAGTCTTGAGACCGGTTTTAACTTTTAACTTTTTTTCTCCATTCAGTTCTGTTTTCTATCTTCGTCATAATGTCTAGATATAGATAATAAAATTATGTCCTAGGCCTTGATCCTCGGTAGTTTGTGACACAAAATGTGTTCTTGGCTGTCCTCTTCCGTTTTTTTTTATAAGATCCATTGAAAACTTGGCTGTATAGGGCCATTGAGGCCTTGGTGTAAGGCACCATGGCCTAACCTAACAATTTCAATTTTCTTGACTTCATGATATCTATAAGCACAAAGGTCGTGTGTATTCTCTTTTGGAACAGAGTATAGGTATTCTCTATACTAGGCTTGGAAGTTATAAAAAATACATATTTTTTTTGGTTCATTCTAGAACATCCAAAGTAAGATACAAATATGTATCACACTACTCTGATGTCATACACAAAATTTTATACTGCTATTTTTTGCATATTAATGGTTTTTATTGCTATTTTGCTAAATTAGGGTTTTTAGCTCTCTTTTTGGGTATATTTTCATAATATACATATCATACGAATCATCTTAGTGGGGCCCAGTATTCATATATATATGAAATTAAATAAAAAAATTAATACATAATATTCAAATCTTAGATTTAAAAAGAAAAATTTTTACGAATTCTCAACTCAAAATAATTTGCTAATTTGTGTGATTTTTCCGTAATTTGTCAAGATTTGAACTTTAAATGCTTGTAAAAAAAAATTGGGACTGGATTTTTAATTTTTTTCATCTGCCTTTGAAACAATATACTAGGAGCCTTCTATTTAGTTTTCAAGCTTTTTTAACCAACAAATATAATTTTATTGATATTTATAGAATAAAAAACTAATAAATTTGGAAACTGAAAATTTCCCTAAGCAGTTCAAAATAAATGAAAATATTTTGAAAATGTTATCATATATAGAAATTGAAATATAAGCAACCAGTGAAAATTTCATGTACCTACTGTCATTTGTTTAAGAGTTGCACAAAAAACCAATATCAATTTTTTCGAAAACAGATTTTGTGTAAAAAATCCCGTTTTCCTTATTTTTTTTTTGTTTTTCTTATCGCTTTTGAAAATTACTGGGAATTTTAAATTTTGACCTTCCCAATGCATCAACAATATTCACTTTCCCATCGTACAAGATACTGAAGTTGAAAATCGAAGCATTATTTCAACTACTTATCGGGTACACAGACACAAAAAAAAAAATTAAAAAAATTAATAAAAAAACATACATCATTGTAAAATCAATACATTCATTGTTCCACTCAGAATCTAAAATACATAAAAAACTGTTCATTTTTTTTACAAATTATTATATTTTAATTAGATAGAAATAGACAAAGGGTGGTTTGAGTAAAATGGACATAGTAAATACCTACCATAAAATAGACATACTCTGATACTCAGGATATTATACGATAATATTATTGTTGTATAACAGTGATCTGTACTCGATTCTGCTAAAATAATAAATTGCGGTCTGATGGATATTGTTTTTCGAATTAAATACCACAATAAATTGCTCTGCAAACGGAAATCGTAATTATTATTATCATGGTTGGACAAATTATCTGTTTTTTTCTAATTCGAGTATTATCCAAAAATGTTATATTATCGAAGCTATTTAAGTGAGATTTCTACTGATTTGACACGTTTTTTCCAAAATCTGCTTACGCTCTAGCTGTGGTTACGACTTTCTATTTTTTGCAGATTATAATAACTATTAAGTAACAACTATAGGTATAGCTTATAGGTATACCTGCATAATAGATATATTATATATTATGCCAATATTGAGATCATGATTCTTTTTCATCTCGTTCAACGGTTTCGAGTAGGTACCCAATCTTAGATATGGACAAAATACTTTTAAAAAGTATTTTAAAATTTAAATAAATTATCGAATTCTTATAAAAAAAGTATTTTAAATAGTTTTTAAAAATAATATTCGAAATATTTTCCTTGAATTTCGAATAGGTACTTTTCGACAAAGGTGGGCAAGTTAATGAAAATAATTAACTCAAGTTAAATTAAGTTAAGAGGACACAAGATCGATAAGTTAAAAGTTAGCAGTTAACAAATTATAAATTTAACTCGATAAGTTAAAAGTTCATGTAGAAAAAAATATTAACTTAACTCAGTTTAAAAAAAGTTAATCTATTTTAGATTCTGAGTGAAACGATGTATTGATTTTACAATGATGTGTGTTTTATTTTATTTTTTATTTTTTTTGTGTCTGTCATCACGTTTTAGGACAGTAAAAGTGCTTGGATTTTCTTCAACAGTATCTTTTCTGATAGGAAAGTGAATCTAGTTGGTACTTTGGGGGGTCAAAAGTTAAAATTTCCCAATAGTTTTCACAAGCACCGGGAAAAACAACATAAAAATTAAGGAAAATCGGGAATTTTTACGCAAAATCGGTTTACCAAAAAATCGATTTTGATTTTTGGTGTAACTCTAAAGAAATGAACGTATATACATGAAATTTTCACTGGTTGTTTATATTTGCATTTTGTAAACACGATAACATTTTCAAAATATTTTGATTTATTTTGAACTGTTTAGGGACATTTTCATTTTCCATCTTTTTTTAGTTTTTTTTCTAAAAATAACAATAAAATTTTATTTGTTGGTTGCAAAAAGTTGAAATTTTAATAGAAGGCTCCTAGTATATTGTTTCAAAGGTAGATGAAAAATAAATAAAATCCTTAGTCACAATTTTTTTTTATAAGCATTTAAAGTTCAAAAATTGACAAAATATGGAAAAATCACGAAAATTAACAAATTATTTTGAGTTAAGAATTTGTAAAAATTTTTCTTTTTAAATCTAAGATTTGAAAATGTAATACAAGATTACTCATAAGTTTGTCTACCTTTATCAATAAAAAAAATCTCTTATTATTTTATCATATAGACTCAGTGCCATATTATTTATGGAAGGACAAAATATGGGACATTCACATTTGCACTGGGCCCACTCAAAATAGCGGCTTACCGACTACAGGTATATGAAATATTAATTTTATACCTTTTTATGATACTTTGGAAAAACAAAATAGATTTGGATTTTACTTGGATATTTTGGTGGGTTATAAAGTATAATGAATTTTCCTTGAAAACGACAGCCTTAATCAACTTTGCCTACAACAAAATCTAATAAATTGCCGTTATTATCGGCATAATATTACTATTCACGTTATATTGTCTTGCGTATATTTACCGTGATATACGTCAGTCGTATTTATTGTATATCTATTTGTAATTTGTTTATCATATTTAATAATTTAAAATGTCCAAAAAATACTTAATTGGTTCAATGAAGAGAAAATTAAAGGATAGAAGAGATGAAGAAACAAAAATACTAAGTACACGGTAGCTTGGATAAATTTACGTTTAGAACTAGTTTATGTACTAGCGCACAGTCGAAATGTTTGTGAAAGCTGATTAGCTGAAATCAAATTTAAAACACTTAAAAACATTTATTTCGATATTTAAGTACAATAATCAAAATTACTAATTTAACAAAAAAAATCTTTTTAATTTGTATAGGTTCTTACTTGAATAAATATTAAACATTAATTAGACTCTTTGAAAGTGTAAAGTGTTCTTGTATAACTAAACAATTTTTAAATATACACGTTTTTCAACTTACAGTTATGCAGATGGATTTCTTTAGGTTTAGGAACGTCTTCAGTTCTGGAATTGTTCTAATGAATTCAAACAGGTACCTACATAATATTATATTAATAAAATGTATTTAAATAAAAATTAAATTAATACGAAATAAATCTTGTTCAACATTATTTTATATACCTGGCAAATGTATTACACTTTCACTCGGTACTCAATAAAGGTCGAACCACTTATTGTGTGGTTATGCCTATAATATTATATTATTGTACAACTGTCAAAACACTCATACCGTCGAAAAGTGATTTCCAAGTACAGTAATAGATACCTGTTACAAGATTTGTTCAGATTAGAATATTACAACTCGAGTCAATATTTTATTATATTGTAAAAATTGACTTATACAC